GGAGGTCAGGAGTTCGAGACCAACATGGCAAAACCCTGTCTCTACTAAAAATACAACAAATTAGCTGAGCAGGGTGGCAGGTGCCTGTAATCCTAGCTACTCAGGAGGCTGAGGCATGAGAATCACTTGAACCCAGAGGGTAGAAGTTGCAGTGAGCCAAGATCATGCCACTGCACTCCCGCCTGGGTGACAGTTCGAGACATCGTCTCAAATAATAATAATAATATAATAATAATAATAATAATAATACTAGGACAACAGATGTAAACCTCACTGGAGCAGCGTAGGGACAGCCTGTGTGGGGGCTGTGATTGGGTGCCCAGGCTGGTGTATTGTTAGGGACACAGATTCTCCAGTGAGCTAGAGACGGTGGGTCCCTTGCCTCGGGCCAGTTGGGAGGGTTGAGGAGCTGGGTGAGAACTGGGTCTGACTGCAGAGCCTGAGCTCAGGCCGGGAGCACAAATGGCCCTGCTCTCTCCCTTCCCTGCTGCTGCCCTGGCACCTCCTCCTCACTGTGCCTCCCCTTTCCTGCTGTGCCTTCCTTTTTCTCTCCCTCTCCCTCTGTCTCATCATCTCCTTGTCTGTCTCTGTCTCTGTTTCTGTAGCCTTCCTCCCCTTCAGTCTCTGTTTCTGTCTCATTGTCTGTTCCTCTCTGTTTCTACCTCTATCTCAGTCTCTAGCTCTCTCTCTTGCTCTCTCTCTGTCTCTCTGTCTCTCTTCCTGTCTCCCTCCCTCCCCTTCTTTCCTGTTTTCCACCTGTTTTCTAAAGTTGTTCTCACCCTGATTCTGTCTGTGTTCGTGGCAGAAGGGACCATTTCTGAGCCCCACCCTGGGTGTAGATGCCCCTGGATGCAGCATGAGGTGGGAAGGAAAGCCCCTGGCTGACTGCGCAGCCCCTGCGGCAGGTATGCACCGAGCTGGGTGTGCACCAAGCTGAGTGTGCACAGAGCTGCGGCGCAGCGAGCAGGACCAGGACGCGGGTGAGCCACGAGGTGGGGCTCACTGCTCAGACACGGATGCTGGGCTGTCACCAAGGTGCGGAGGCCCTCGGGGCTCCTCCTGGTCGCCTCACTCCTGACCAAGCAGGGAGCATCCTGCTTGCAACGCGTCTGGAATTCTCTGAAAATACAGAGAGAAGAGCTTCCTTCCCTCTGTGAGCTCAGTCCCCACTTCTGAGAACAGGAGGAGGCATCTCTGCGTCATCCTGACACTTGCTTTCCGCCATCTCCTGGGCCTTCGCGTGGGTGCACCTGTTGCTGTGCAAAGCCTGCTGGGCACCTGCCAGGAGTGTGAGCCCGCAGGCTCCAGCTGGGAACTGTGAATAGTTGAGGGGCCAGGCATGGAGAGACCCTCCCCTCCCCCTGCCTCTGCCTCTGCCTGTGTGCGCTTCCTGGAGGCCTCCTGGTGATCTGTGTCAGCACTGACAAATGCAGTCCCTGGTAGGCGGCGTGCTTGCCTCGCATCAAAACAACACTGCTGTAGGAACTAACTGCGAAGGCCGTTTCTGGGGTATCCTGGAATTCAGAAGGAGGAGGATGGTGACTTGTTGGCACTGGTAGAAGCCGGGCCAGGGTCCTGTGGAGGACCCCCGTGGGCTGCAGCCTTAGGGATAACGCCGCAGGGGGACGCCTGCCTGGAGCCTCAGCCCCTGCTTGTTGCAGGTGCGTGCACAAGCGGCCGGGCACACCGTCCTGGGTCCGGGGCTCCCAAGCCCGCCGCGCTCTCTTCCCTGAGCCCTGCTTCCCATCTGTCCCACTTCTCCTGAGCTCCGTCTCCAAACGCAGCTGGACCCCATCTCCACTGCACTCCCGACCGAGGCGCTGTGGGCTCCTGCCCGGGCTGTTCCAGCAGCCTCCTCCTTCCAGCCCGCCCACTCCCTCCCCGCAGCCACAGGCACCAAGTGAAAGTCCGCTTCTATCCCGCAGCTGAGGGCCCTCTGGTGACTTCCCCATTGGACCTAGAAGAAAATGCCACTTCTTCCCCGGCTTCTGAGGCCTTGCACGGCCCGCGCCGCCCCCTCCTCGTTCCAGGCTTCTCTGTCCACTACCTGAGTTCTGCTCACCCTCGGTCTCTAACCGAGCTGCGCCCGCGGCGGGCGCCTCCTCAATTGTTTCTTAGTTGAAATCACCCTGAAAGGACTTTTCTTGGCCACCCAGTGTTACTGGGGTTCCCACTTGGGTTTTCTCTGTCCCTGCACGTGTGTCTGAATACACTACACTCTTCACCATCTATAAACCCCAGTCCCCAGCCTGGAAGCTTCCCGAGGGCAGCAATCAGACATGTTTACTCATCAGCTCTCCCTCGCAGGGACCCTGGTGTGGACTGGATGCTCAGTGAGTACTGGAAGGGATGATTATGCCCCCAGCGTACAAGGGGCAACCCTTCCAGAGGGCATGTTTCACTATTTTCATCTGATAGTGAGCGATGCAGCACGCCACACAGTTGTACTTAACTGCTCTCTTTTCTTTTTCTTTTCGAAGTCGCAGATGACAGCAGTCATCCCGCCCAATCATTGGCACCTGTCAGATTTTATCCCCATGCCTAGCAAGTAGTCTCTGACAGTTTCATGCCAATCACAGGTACTGGTGCTGAGTGCCACGCGGCAAAACGACAGGATTGCCTTCTCCTGCCTGGGTGCTTAGATCCCATGTAAATCCCTTTGGCTCAGAAATTGTCTTCCTTTTGCCCTCCCTTCCTCTCTCCCTCCCTTTTTCCTTCCTTCATCTCCCTCCTTTCTTCTTCCCTCCTTTTCTTCATCTGTTCTTTACTCCCATTTTCTTTGATTTCTCTCCCTCCTTCCTTCCTTTCTCCCTTCCACCCTCCTGACTTCCTTCTTCCCCTCCTCCTCCCTCCCTCCCTCTCTACCTCCCTCCCTCCCTAACTGTCTTCTTCCCTCTCTCCTTCTCTCCCTTCCTCTTTCTCCCTCCCTCCCTATTTACCTCCCTCCCTTCCTCCCTTGCCTCTTCTCTCCCTCCATTTCTCCCTCCCTTCTTCCCTCCTTTCCTCTCTCCCTCCCTCCCTCCTTTCCTCTCTCCCTCCCTCCCTAATTCCCTCCCTTTCTCCCTTTTTTACTCCCTGTCTCCCTCCGTCCCGCCCTCTGTCCCTTCGTCTCTCCCTTTCTCCCTCTCTCTCTTCCTCCCTTCCTTTCTCCCTCCCTTCTTCTCTCCCTCCCTCCCCTCCTCTCTCCCTTCCTGTGCGCCACTGCCCTCATCATTCCTCATTAGTGAGCTCAACTTTCCTTTGAGTTTTGCCAGGAGAATCCGTTGTTGGCACTTTATACAGGAGCATGGTATCTGGTGTTCCCTGAATCTCTGTAGAGTGTCGCTACCACGTGTCTGAATGAGCAAGCTGTCCCTTGGGGACCTTGGACTGCAGCGGAACTGGGCTGCATTTGGAGCAAAGCCATGAGATGACCAGCATGCCAACAGAAAGTGGCAGCTGCTCCAATGGACCCCATCACCTCAGGAGGGCAGTATTGGGAGACCTTATTTCTTGCTCTCCTGGAGGCCAGAGCTGGTTGTTTGGTCTGTGACCACTGCCCGTGTGGTCACTCAGAGCCCTGGCTCCTTCCGTGACCTGGCTGCAGCTCCGTGTGTATGTAGCTGCTGGGGAGAGAGAAGACAGGGTCCACCATGGGAGGTATGTGTGACCTGGGCTGGAGGGAGCACATGCCCCTCTCCGCTCATGCTCCCTTGGCTGCAACCTGGTCACATCATGCCCGCTGCGAGGGAGGCTGGGAATTGTGGCCTGGGAAGAACGGGGGAGCAACCGTATGACTGGGTGCTCCTCCTTTCATCCCCAAAGACTGAGGCTAACGTGTTCTGGGAGAAAAAAAAGAGAAAACAAGACCCGTCATAAGGAAGATGGCTAGCATCTGTTGAGTGCTTGCTCTACAGATACAAATGTTATGCGTGGATTATCTTGTTTAACCTGCACAATGACAAATGAGCTCTTACCAGCCCCATTTCCTAGACGAGCAAACCAGGCACAGAGGAGTTAACTTCCTCAAGGCCCAGAACCTGGTAAAAGGTGCCGCTGAGGTTCATACTGTGCTTTTCAGCTTTGTTAAGGTTGATTGACAAATTTAAAGATTGTCGACATGTATGGTATACCACTTAGTGTTTTGCTATGTGCATCAATTGTGCAATGATTAAATCGAGCTAATAAACATTTCCATCCCCACACATACTTTTTTGTTGTAATGAGAATATTTAAGATCCACTCACTTAGCAACTTTCAAGTACACTAGAGTCACCAGGCTGCCCCATAGGTTTTCAGAATGTGACCCTCCTAACTGAAACTTTGGGACCATTGACCAATATCTCCTCGTTTCCTCTCCTGCAGCCCCCCAGCCCCTGGTAACCACCCTCCCACTCTGTTTCTATGAGGTTGATTTTTTAAGAATCTGCCTATAGGTAAAATTATGAAGTATTTGTCTTTTCTGGTTTTTGGTTTTTTTTGAGACGGAGTCTCAAAATTGGCTGGAGTGCAGTTGTACAATCTCGGCTCACTGCAACCTCTGCCTCCTGGGTTCAAGCGATTCTCCTGCCTCTGCCTCTCCAGTCGCTAGGATTACAGGCTCGTGCCACCACACCTGGATAATTTTTGTATTTTTAGTAGAGATGGGGTTTCACTGTGTTGGCCAGGCTGGCTGGTCTTGAACTCCTGACCTCGCAATCCACCTGCCTCGGCCTCCCAAAGTACCAGGATTACAGGTGTGAGCCACTGTGCCTGGCCCATCTTTCTGTGTTTTTTAAATGTAGGTTTTAATTTTTGTGGGTCCATAGTAGGTATATGTATTTTGGAGGTTCATATTTTGACAGACATGCAGTGCATAATAATGGCGTCAGGGTATGTATGTCTGTGTTCTTAACCATTATACTACCGTCTGTATTAGGATAAGTGGAATCTGATCTTTTTAATTAAAAGTAAGTTTTATGTTATATGAACACTTTATAGAAAGATTGAAAACGTACAAATTAAAAATACCCATAACTTACAATTTGGAGACAGCCTCCTATTTTCCCAGAATGTTCTTGTCAGGACTTATGCAGGCGTGATGTATCCTTTCTGCGAAAAGGCCCCTCTGCCCAGGGAGTTCTGCAGCCTCTCGGTTGCCTGGCACGTGCCAGAAGCTATGCGGGCTCAGCTGTCGCCACTGTCGGGCAGAGAAATGCATGGCGAGTCCACCCTGGTTCTTGGTATCTTAAGGGTGGTGAGACAGTAAAATTCTCCTTTCCCTTCTGGCATCTGCACACCAGAGGCTGACTGTGCTGGTCAAAGGAGAGCTGTTATTTGAGAAGGGAAAACAGTGCAAGTCCTAGATAAATAACAGCAGGGTGACTGACCACCAGAGAACCCGTGTTTTATTCCTGCCATTCCCAGGGCTCCACGGCTCCTGAAATCCATGATGCAGGGTTAGTGTGGACTGAGGGCATTGCTGTGGCTGAGGTAGGAGGGAGCAAGAGTGCTTGCCCTCTGTAAACTGAGTGGGTCCATGGATGTCCGTGTCATCAAGGACTCCAGCCATCAGCCAGGTACCTGCTAGTATAAATGGACAGAGCTGACGGGTGGGCCCCGATTGTAGGTTTGTGAGCCATGGCAGTGTCACCCAGGTGTGCTGCTCAGGAGCCCTCTCAAGAATTCAATGTGGCCTGAGCATCCCCCAAAACCCCCACCCCTCGCCCAACTCTGCCATTTCCTTCCTTCCTTCCTTCCTTTCTTCCTTCCTTCCTTCCTTCCTTCCTTCCTTCCTTCCGTCCATCCGTCCGTCCTTCCTCTCACTGCGTCACCCAGGCTGGAGTCCAGTGGCACGATCTTGGTTCATTGTAACCTCTGCCTCCTGGGTTCAAGCAGTTCTCCTGCCTCAGCCTCCCCAGTAGCTGGGATTACAGGCATGTGCCACCACACCTGGCTAACTTTTTTTTTTTTGTATTTTTGATAGAGATGGGGTTTCACTGTGTTGGCCAGGCTGGTCTCAAACTCCTGACCTCAAGTGACCTGCCCACCTCGGCCTCCCACAGTGTTGGGATGACAAGCGTGAGCCACCACCCCAGCCTGCTTGTGTTTCTTTCCTCTCTCCCAGGCATAACCAGAATGAATGGCAGATTTACTGCCACACTTTAATGGGCTGATCTTTCCCTCCAGCTTCCTCCTGCTGTAACCCACTAAGCCATCACTCGAGCCCAGGAGAAAGTCTCCCGGGCCCCCTCTCCCCTCCCTTCCCTGCCTCTCACCTTCTTCTTTCCTTCAAGATGCCCATCTTCTCCCCACCAACCCCTAAAGCACACCAGAGCAGCAGAAGCACCTTTCAGCCAGCCGGGTGTGTGTTGAAATGACTAGTGTTCTGCTCAGCCCATCATCTGGAAAGTGAGCGAATGAGAAGCACAGAAAATATTCCTGAGGTGGTTTTTTTAGCTTCATCGGTGGCTCCCAGGTTTCCCCTGTCTGTGTGTGTGTGTGGGGAGGAGGGGTGCGGAGGGTGGTGCTCGGAGGGGGACGGTCTGGGTCTAGATGCCTTTTCTGCCACTCAGTGATGTGGCCACTCGGTGATGTTAACCTCAGGCAGATTCCTGGGTGACCTGGGCTCCCATCTCTTGATCTGTGTGTGTGGAGGGGGAGAGGGCACATAGGAATAGTCCAAATTCCTAGTTCCTTTTCTGCAATTTCAGAATCCAAAAAGCGCTTCGAAAACATGTGCTTGAAAAAACTGCGATTGGGGCCCACCTGCCAGCTCTGTACATTTTTACTAGCAGGTACCTGACTGATGACCGGAGTCCTTGTTCACACCGACGTCTACGGACCTACCTGGCTTACAGAGGACGAGGGCTCTTGCTCCCTCCTACCTCAGCCACAGCAATGCCTTTGAGCCACACTAACCCTGCACCATGTATTTCATGAGCCACAGAGCCCTGGGAATGGCAGGAATAAAATACAAGTTCCCCCGTGGTCAATGACCTTGCTGTTAGTTACCCAGGTCTATGCACTGTTTTCCCTCCTCAAATAACAGCTGTCCTTTGACCAGCACAATCGACCTCTGGTGTGCAAATGCCATAAGGGAAAGAGGAGTTTTACTGTCTCACCACCCATAAGACCACTCTTTTTAGTGAGTTTGGTGCCATAACTCCTTTCTGAATTGATGTGAAGTTACCTAGGGCTTTGTTTGTCCTGCGTCACAGGACTATTCATACATTTTGGTTAAGAAACATGGATCTGTTGTTGACGGGCATGGCCTTAGACCTTGCTGGAGATGATACATAATAGAAGGCTATAGCAGCCGAATTACTAAAATCCCCCAGGTCCTGAATTCTGAAGCCTCATTCCGTGTATGTGGTTGGCTGCTGTTGTTAATTTCTGGCTGGATCCCGAACTCCACTGTAGGTTCTTGGCCAGAGGCTGGCTCTCTCTTCACTAAAGAAGTGTTGAAGAAAGAAGCATTTGCCCCTCATTGAGGCTGTCCTCCCCTCCACCAGCAGCGAAGATGAACTGGAAAGGAGTTAGCATTCTCACCTGCTGGCTTTCCTTTGTTTAGTGTCCCCACCTGCACCTGCACCTGCACCTGCACCTGCAAACCTCCTTCCGCATGCTACAGACTCCCACGCACCGTCACTCCCGAGCACCCACCATGTCTGTGGGTGGCCTGTTAGATACACGGTCAGGCATTGTCCTGGCAAAGGGCCTGAGCACGGAGCCTCCCTGGCTCAGCGTGCATGCACAGGGCCCACTGGCAGATTCACGGGGGTCAGTCTTGGAATGGACATCAGACTCAAGCATCGTGACTGGGGGCAGAGGGGTCAAGCATCATGAGTGGGGGTCAGAGTCCCCACCCTGCCACCTTGTCCTCTGGCTCTGTCTCGAGCAGTTGCTATGCACAGGGCTCATTGACCGAGAGGTTATTTCCGACCCTACCCTGTTGCCTTGCTCAGTCTCCATATGCAGAAGATTCCCATAGCTGTTTTTTGTTTTGTTTTGTTTTTGTTTTTTTTCTTTTGAGACAGGGTTGTCAGCGGTGACAGTTTGGATAGTGCTGTAAAATGTGACCACAGGGATGGTGTCGTGTACGAGAAAAGTACCACAGTCAGGTGCCCGTTCCTCTTCTAGGCATTGAGGTCTTGAAGGAGGAGCCTCACAACTTGCAGTTTCGAACACAGGAAATCTGTCCTATGACCAAATTTGTGGAAAACGAGGCAGGCACGGCAGGCTGCCTTAGACCTGTCAGGCTTCCCACAACCCCCTGGGGGCGCTGTTGGGTACTGTTAGCAAATGCACTTTCCTGCACCCCACCGTCCACCCACCCAATCAGTATCTTGGGGGCTGAGGGCGGGTGTGTGGGGCGTGTGTGTTTTACAAGCTCCGTTAGGGAGTCTTACAGCAAGGTTTGAGAAGCAAAGCCACCGTCGAAGCCTTAATTAACTCAAAGGCTGCAACCAGAAAAGCCTGAGGAACACCCGAGATCTTTAACGACAGCAGCCTGTGCCAGTCTTGAGAAACTTCCGTGTCAACGTCTCCCATCAATAAGCTGTCGTATTTGAAGCAGCGGGAGAGGAGCTTCGGGGCTGTTTAATTTAACACACCAAGCCTGAAATTCAGAGTTTTCCTGTGATTGACTGTAGCTCATCTTGGAAAAATAAGTATGTATCACTTGCTGAAGGTTGTCAGAATGTAATGCTCTTTAAAACCATAACATTTTAAATCTGCCAGCCCCAGCATGCGTCCTGCTCTCAAGGCTTTTGCTTCTCATGGAGTTTTTTCCTTCTGTTCTGTGGCTTTGAGGTGACATCATCATGAGAAGGATTGTAATGGGGTTCTAATATTCATTTTATAAAATGGGTACTGGCTGGGCGCAGTGGCTCACACCTGTAATCCCAGCACTTTGGGAGGTCAATGCAGGTGGATCACTTGAGGCCAGGAGTTCAAGACCAGCCTGGCCAACATGGCAAAACCCTGTCTCTACTAAAAATACAAAAATTAGTCAGACGTGGTGGCACAAGCCTGTAATCTCAGCTACTTGGGAGGCTGAGGCAGGTGAATCTCTTGACCCCGGGAGGCAGAGGTTGCAGTGAGCTGAGATTGTGCCACTGCACTCCGGCCTGGGCAACAGAGAGAGACTCCATCTCAAAAAAGCAAAAACAAACAAACAAAACAAAAGGGCACGACTTCCTGTCCTCTGGATCTTGGTGAAACCTCAGGAAGATGGAGCAGGTCAAAAGGATTCAATGAGAAATGCTCCACCAGCAGCCCCAGACTCCTCAGAAAGGAAGAAGCTCTGAGGACGGTCATCTACTAATTGAGTAATTACCCTCTAAAGACAAAACTATGCTCTTTTGCATTATTATTATTATATATTTTTTAACATCACAAGTGCATTACCTGAGCCAGGGTTGGCACACCTGTGGCCCTGGACCTAGGTCTGGTCTGCAGATGTGTTTTGTTTAGTTTGCTGTATTCTTACAATATTGAATTACTTGTTGATATTTAACATGGAACACTTTTACATAAATATCCAGAATTTAGACCTCTCTTGGAAAACAAAAAAAAAAAAAAAAAAAAAAAAAAAAAAAAAAAAAAAAACAAAATTTAGACCTCTCTTGGAAAAAAAAAAAAAAAAAAAAAAAGAAAAGAAAGAAATGCAGCAACCAGCATAGGCCTGTATTGACCACGGTGGCTGCGTTCACCTCCCACTCCACCTGCTGGGCCCCGGAAGGCGTTTGCGTCTCCCACCGCTGATCAGGAACAGAGGTGAGGCTTGTGTTTTTTAACTCTCCTGAGAGATGGAGTTTCCGTACTTGGCTTTGCTTTGAGTTTTTAGCGTCTGCCCTCTGTAATGCCCCATGAATTCTTTTCTTTTTTCTTTTTTTTTTTTTTAAACAGAATTTTGCTCTTCTCGCCCAGGGTAGAGTGCAATGAATGGTGCTCTCAGCTCACTGCAACCTCTGCCTCCCAGATTCAAGCGATCCTCCTACCTCACCCTCTTGAGTAGCTGGGATTACAGGTGCCCACCACCATGACAAGCTAATTTTTTTGTAGTTTTAGTAGAGACAGGGTTTAACCATGTTGGCTAGGTTGGTCGGGAACTCCTGACCTCAGGTAATCTGCCCACCTCAGCCTCCCGCAGTGCTGGGTTTACAGGCATGAGCCCCCGCGCCCGGCCTCTGAGTTATTTTCATAATTTTCATGAGTAGATCACTGCGTAGCCAATGGAAGATCCTGAGTGGACCCCCCCCCCTCCAGGGTTACAGCCAATCGGCTTTTCCGCAGCTCCTGGCTGAAACCTGTGTGAAACCTGCAGCACCTGGGCTGGAAGGATCCGTCTCAGGGACACTCAGGGCGGCAAGTCCTGCTGTGTAGCTCTTCAGTGCATTTGATGAGGTGTCCGTTGTCAGATTCCAGAGCCACTGCTGATGTCCGGCGTGGCATGTCAGGGTGGGCACGGCTCTCCTCCTCCGTGTGCGTGTCTGGCCCTGCCTTCCTGTGTGCCACGTCGTCCTGAGGTGGGTGGGAATCGCCGCAGTGGATCTGGGCTCCCCACGTGACCTGGGTGGCCTCAGAGGCTGGAGGGGGCAGTGGTTCCCAGTGTTCTCTTCTTAGAAGGAGGAAACCACTTTTTCCAGAAGACACTGACTGCTGGTCTCTCCCTCCCATCTTGGTACGTGAAAGGGGTCCCAAGCCAGACCCCAAGAGAGGGTTCTTGGATCTGTCGCAAGAAAGAATTCAGTGCGAGTCCGTAAAGTGAAAGCAAGTTTATTAAGAAAGTGAAAGAATAAAGAATGGCTACTCTGTAGACACAGCACCGCGAGGGCTGCTGGTTGCCCATTTTTATGGTTATTTCTTGGTGATATGCCAAACAAGGGGTGGATGACTCACGCCTCCCCTGTTTAGACCATATAGGGCAACTTCCTGACGTTGCCATGGCATTTGTAAGCTGTCCTGGCACCGGTGGGAGTGTGGCAGTGAGGACGACCAACGGTCACTCTTGCTGCCATCTTGGTTTTAGTGGGTTTTGGCCGGCTTCTTTACTGCAACCTGTTTTATCATCAAGGTCTTTATGACCTCTGTCTTGTGCCGACCTCCTGTCTCATCCTGTGACTTAGAATGCCTTCATCGTCTGGGAATGCAGCCCAGCAGGTCTCAGCCTCAGTTTACCCAGCTGCTATTCAAGATGGAGTTCCTCCGGTTCAAACGCCTCTGACAATCTCAGTGGCCAGACTTGGGTCAAACGTTGGCAGGGGAGAACAGGATAACAGTGTTCGTTCTCTATTACATGCAACAAATCCCCACAAACTCAGAAGCTTGAAGCCACACCCATCTGCCATCTGGCAGTTTCTGCGGATCCAGGCTGTGGGCACAGCCCAGGTGGGTCCTCAGCTCAGGGCCTCAAGTCCCACCAGGCTGCACTCTGGGTGGCCGGGCCACATTCTCATCTAGAGCATGGTTGGTGGCAGGGTTCAGTTTCCTAAGGCCATTGTTCTCTCCCTGGTTGTTGGCCAGAGGCCACCCTCAGCTCTTAGAAGCTGACGGGACAGATGCCCCTGGATGTGTGATTGGGTTACATCTCAATAAACCCACTGGAAGCTAAAAATGCACTTAACAGCCTGCGTGACACAATGAAACCCCATCTTCAGAAAAAATACAAAAATTAGCCAGATAAGGGGCATGTGCCTGTATTTCCAGCTACTTGGGAGGCTGAGGTGGGAGGATCTCTTGAGCCCAGGAGGTTGAGGCTGCAGTGAGCTGTGATCACACCACTGTACTCCAGCTTGGGTGACAGAGCGAGACCCTATCTCAAAAAAAAAAAAAAAAAGAGAAAATGCACTTAATACACCAACCTCCCGAGTATCACAGCTTAGCCCAGCCTACCTGGGGTAGGGTTCAACAGTGCTCAGAACCCTTACACTAACCTACAGCTGGGCAAAGTTATCCAACGCAAAGCCTGTATTAGAGTACGGTTTTGCATATCTCATATAATTTATCAACTACTGTACTGAGAGTAAGAATAGAATGGTTGTATGGGTGCCTGAAGTTCAGTTTCTACCGAAAGCATCTCACTCTCACACCATTGGAAAACGGAAAAACCTGAAGCTGAGCCATCATAAGTCAGGACTGATTGTGGTTTGCTGCCCCTCGGCCTGGCAACACGGGTGTCCCCTGCTCCGCTCTGCTGAGATGATGTCCTGTGTGACGTCACCCTGTCGAGGGAGCCACATCCCCGGACCTTTGCCATATTCTGTTGGTTGGAGGCAAGTCCACCCACAGTCACGTCATGGGCCGGGGTTCCTGGGGTCGGCCCAGGGTGTGTCTGCCACACCACAACTGGCTCGGACAAATCAGGACCAGCTTTGGGAAGTGGAGACGGGGTCTTCTTCCCAGTCTGTGTTGCAGAGGGGTAGAACTTCAGACATTCACGGTTCTCTTGTTGAAGAGGAGGCGTGAGTGCCTGGCGAGAGTGTCGGTTATACGTAGCTGTGTAACTAAGAATCCCAAAAGTCAGTGCCTTACAACTACCACTATTTTATTTGTTTGCAGTTTTCTGAGTCTGCAGTTGGAGCTGGGTTCGCGGGGTGGTGCCTCTGCTGGTTTGGGGAGTGGCCTGGGGCCACTGGTCCAGCGACGGTCTTCCGGCAGCTGGCCTGGAGCTGGATAGTCCTAGACAGCCTCACTCATGGTGCTGGTCATTGCTCAGTGCCCGTGTTCACATGGCCTCCCTTCCCCCAGGAGGCTAGCCCAGGCTTTGCTTTACCTGGCGGTCTCCAGGGCTCTCACAGAGCCGGGGAATGTTTGGAAGCTATAAGAGCTTTTGAAGCTTTGCATGGAAGGCAGACCGCATCACTTCTGATGTGTCCTGTCAGTCAAAGCAAATTACCCGACCAAGTCAGAGTCATTGGGGCGGGGTGGGGAATAGACCACACCTGCTCAATGGGGAGAGTGGCAGTGTCATATTGCAAAGAGGCATGCATACAGGGGTAGAGGGTGTGGCTACCTTTGCAAACCGTCTACACTGGTAAGCAAACGACAGAGTCTGTGTCCACATGGATTTCTCATGTCCACAGGCGCGTGTCCAGCAGATTCCCGATGCAGCTGCATAGGAGCTTTTAGTCCAGAAGAAAAGAATCCAGAGCTTCAGGGAGTGACTTATGATTCAAGAGAGATGTTTGCTTTTTCTGATGGTTTTCTTTTCCTTCCTTTCTGCCAGTCATCCAGGGTTTTATTAAGCCAGCAGCCAAGATGTTGCTTACTCATAACCCCCCTCTCTCTTGCTTTATTTAAGTATATGTTTTTTTGTTCACTCTTCTATGCAGAGAGAAAAGAAGAGTGTGTTTTATTACAACCTGTTCCTAGAAACTCTGTAATTCAGGATTTTGTGGTAAAAGGGCCATACATTCTGTAAGAATAACAAGCAGAGCGTGGAAGGAGGGGATTGGGTTTCCACCAAAGTCTCCACGTGAGATAAATCAAAGATATGACCAGCATCATAAAATAATATACCCAGCTATAAGCATCTCAAATAATTTTAATAAGAATGTTGTTCTGCCCTGAAACGGGAATAAACATATTAAATTTTTATTATAAAACGACTACCAATTTACTATAAAGTATAAACATAATCTATAAAAATATAATTCTACTGTACCATAAATATGACTGTGTATATTGCCAGCTATAAAAGGCATTCAACATTTAATTAACAATAATTTGGAGAATATGTTTATGTTCCTTTTAAACAGCAAGAGCGCTGTGTATTGATCTTAGACATAGCTGCCTTCTTGGAATTTACGTGGGCTGTAGGGGAATAACCATGGTAACGAGAGCTAAGCATGTGCTGGGCTTTGCTCAAAATTCTTTGTTTGCAGTAACTCGTTTGCTATCCTCTCAACACCCTAGGAAAGAGGTATGTGACTACCCCTGATTGACAGTTGAGGAGCTGAGGCACAGGGAGGGTAAGAAACTGACCCACTGCCGCTCACGTGAAGGGTAGGGTGTGAATTTAAACCCACGCCTCCTGCATCAAGAACTCTGCTGTTGATTTATGTGCACACATGGAGAGTAATGACTGGTCCCCTCCTCTCCCGGAATACCCTTTAACAGTCAAAATACTTCTAATTTATTTTTCCAATCCTGAAATCCTGAAGGGCTTTGATATGAAAAGCAGGTCAGCAGGAGCACTCTCTCATTGCCATTGCTGCGCCAAGGGTCTGCAAGCCTTCATCAGTGAGGAGCATAAGCGGAAACGCAGCCGGAAGCTGAGCTGCAGGAAGACCAGAATAACAAAGGGCTGTTACATCCCCCTCCCTCGCTGCTTCATGCGGGGAGCCCCTGGGACTCAGGGCAGGGCTGGGTTTACCGACTCAGTACCCACCACTCCTCCACAGATGGGAAATGTGGGGCCCAGAGAGGCTCACTAGCTTGCCCAAGGCCACACAGCAAAGTTAGGTCGTTCAGAAGAATTTGAACCCAGATCTGGCTCTGAAGCACTAGTGCTTTCCACTGCACCAGACACCACCTGTATTGTGAAGACAGGCTTGGCTCTGCACCCAGGGAAGAGGACAGAACAACACAAAGGAAAAGAAATGGGGTGGGGGTCGTATTGTGTGGGACTCAGACTCTGGGGTAAGACCTAAGTTCACATCTGAGGCTCCACTTACGAGAGGGAAGAAACTGTGGATCTGAGAGTCCTTGGGAAGACAGGTGGTCTTGTTGATCTAGGGAAGGGAGTTGGTGGCTCCAGTATTTTTTATGATGTTCATCCCAGCATATGTGTGTGTGTGTGTGTGTGTGTGCGTGTGCGTGTGCATGTGTGTGTACATGTGTGTGTGTGCGTGTGTGTGTGTCTGTGCATATATATTATTTCCCACTCAGTCTCAATGTTTGCATTAACTCCCATCCCTCCTAAAAGTCACTCTCTCCAGGTCCAGGAGGCAGACAACGGCAAGACTAGCAGCTAATGCAGACACAGGGTCTTGGGTGCATTTGCAAAATCTCCCTTCGTCAGTGATTTATGTCTACTTCTCCTTCCTTTTTTTGCAGGAGTTTGTTCATCTGGCAAAGAGACTGCTTAGTGAGCCTGCATTAGAAAAGGAAATTGTAGTGAACGGAAGGGAATACGTGAGAATGTATCATTCATGGCAGGTGGAAAGAGATACCTACCAACAGCTCATCAGGAAGCTGGAAGGAAGCACTGAAGATTGAGGGCCCCGCCTCATCAGACACCCGCTGTCCGACACACAGCTTTGGGTGGACACTCAGAGACAGAGTTCTGGGTAACGTGGGTCCCGGGCCGTTCATATAAAACCAGCCTCAGCAGAATCCTAGAAAATGTTGGTCGTGAGTCCCCAGAGCCACTGCGTTTATCCCATATCCTTCTGTGCGTTCAGATGCTGTCCCAGGTGTGTTCACCGGCCAGTCCTGATGGAGGTGCATGAGTGACTGGGTTGACTGGGACAGGGAAAGGGGAACTGGTTTTCAGGGAATTGGGGAGAGAATTTGATTACCTGCTTTAGGGCTTTGGTGCAGACAATAGAGGCTTATTTTCAAGCAGTCACGGTTCAGACTCCCCCGACCTGCCTTCTGACTGACCTCTACCCATCATTGCCAGTTTGAAAGGCAAAAGCAAAACACAGACATGTCAGCTGAGCTGGGTCCTAGCAGGATTTTTGTTGTGATCTCAGGACTCTGACAGACACGTGGGTGGCCCCAGGCTTCTCTGAACAATAGAAAGTGCTGTGAGTGAGCTCACACCCAGCACATCTCACTTTTCAATGGTGGAATTGAAAGTTGTGCTTTTAAGAAAAGTGGCCAGGCTGCTTGTGGCCCCGCCCACCTCTTGGCTGAATTTGAGTGGAAAACCAGGTAGTAACAAGCGCCACATCATGAGTAGCCTGCAAAACACTCAAGTGACCCTGAGATGGAGTCCTGGGGCTTTGGGTCCAGGGTGGGCCCTTCCCCTTCCCACATCAGGGACCCAGGGATGGGTGTTGGAAGGGTCACCAGCCTCCAGCCCTTGGCAGGATGGAGCTTAGGTCTGCAGGGCTTTGCAGCCACACAGTGAGGTCAGCTGTGCCAGCCCTGCCATCATGGTAATGGTGGCCTCGCCCCATCCATGTCATCCATGTTACATGAGGACGTGCAGTCTTCCTTGTCCCCTGCTAGTGGAATTTGCCTGGGAAAACCTCCACTGAACACTGAAATTGTTGCATGCCGGTAGATTCCTTACAACAAATGGGGAAGGTGGTGTTTCCCACCTCGTGTGGGTAGAAAGCAGAGTCTGCTTTAAGGAGGCGAGAAGACACAGCCAGGGCAGAGCATTGCGTGGGAAGCATTCGGTGAAAGCGGGTGCAGGCGCTTCGGACGGCCGAGGGAGAAGATTCCACCGGCGCTGTCTTGGCTTCAAGTTTTAGGATGTCTGAACTTTCTGCTTTCATGTTTTCAACCATCTTTTTTTTTTTTTTAATGGCACAACCTACATCTTGTTTTTAAAAGAAGTAGCCTCAAATTAAACTTCTTAAACTCTGATGCCCCGGGGATGAGAACAACTAGCTTGGATCTTGTGTTGTGTAATGTGATGTTTCATTCCACTGCCTCCATCGTGGAACAGAATCGCTTTCCAGAAAGGCAGTTAGCTGGAAACAGCAGAGGCTCCCAGCTGCTCAACAATGGCTCCCATCGTCCCCCTCCCCTCCCTTGTTTTTGTCCTCTGAGGGACCCAAGGGTTATGGCTTTCATGCCTAGGTGTGGGACAGAGGAGGGAGAGGCAGAGCTTGGGCCCGGAGCGGACCACCTGGTCTGAATCTGGAGTCATTAATGCCACCCAAAGAAAAGGTCCTACCAGGTCCAGTGTTGTCTTAGATCTGAAGATGCTGCTATTTACAAAACGCTGATCGTCCGAAAACTTGAATCTGTTCCTCCTTGAATGACCCTGTAGATGCTTGACCTCCACCGTACCTCCACATCACCATTTATGTCTTTGTAGGAAAACGAGCACATGCCCCATGCACTGTGGAGGATGGGCGTGTTTTTAAATTAATAAAGTATGTCACCATTAGCCACATGAAAATAGCCTCTGTTTCTGCCCACGGTGAGGAGTCTTCTGCAAGGAGCAGATCCCTCCGCCAGACCTCACGTCTTCAAAGGAAGTACGGACACTCTAGCATCTAGTTAAGTGGGGGTTAAAATGCAGCCACTATTTTAATACCCAAGTATAGATGTAAAACCAGGGCTTTTCCATGAGGGTTCTACATGGTGTCAGTTTCACACTTGGTTCACTTTATGTTTAAACATTTATTTGTTTTTATTATTATTTTTGAGACAGAGTCTTGCTCTGTCACCCAGGCTGGAGTGCAGTGGTGCGATCTCAGCTCACTGCAGCCTCTGCTACCTGGGTTGAAGTGATTCTCCTGCCTCATCCTCCTGAGTAGCTGGGATTATAGGCGCCCGCCACCATGCGTGGCCTAAGCATGTATTTATTTTTATTTGTATATGGTATTTGTATTTTTATTTGTATTTTTAGTAGAGATGGGGTTTCACCATGTTGGCCAGGCTGGTCTCGAACTCCTGACCTCAAGTGGGCCGCCCGCCTTGGCCTCCCAAAGTGCTGAGATTACAAGTATGAGCCACCACGCCTGACCTAAACATGTATTTATTTTTATTTGTATATATTCGTGGGGCACACATGCAGTTGTGCTCTGTTGATATATTGCACGGTGGTGAGGTCAGGGTCTTCGGGGCATCTCTCACTGGGCAATGCACACCGTGCCCGCCAAGCAACCCTCATCCTCCCCTCTTCCCTCTCAGCCCTCGAAGGCCCAGCATTCCACACTCTGCTTCCACGTGTACACGTTATTTAGCTCCCGCTTACAAGGAAAATTTGCAAGATTTCTCTTTCTGTTTCTAAGTTGTATCACTGAATATAATAATGACCTCCACTTCCATCCATGCTGCTGTAAAAGACATGATTCCCTTCCTTTTCATGGCTGAATAGTATTCATTGTGTGTATATATTCCACATTTTTTTTTGGACGGAGTTTTGCTCTTGTTGCCCATGCTGGAGTGCAGTGGCACAATCTCAGCTCACCTCAATCTGCACCTCCCGGCTTCAAGCGATTCTCCTGCCTCAGCCTCCCAAGTAGCTGGGACTACAGGTACACACCACTATGCCCAGCTAATTTTGTAGTTTTAGTACAGACGGGGTTTCTCCACGTTGGCCCGGCTGGTCTCGAACTTCCAACCTCAGGTGATCCGCCCACCTCAACCTCCCAAAGTGCTGGGATTACAGGTGTGAGTCACCACACCCGGCCCCACATTTTCTTTATCGAGCCCTCCATTGATGGACACTTAGATTGATTCTATATCTTTGCTATTGTGAATAGTGCTGCAATAAACATGAGCACAGGTGTCCTTTGGATATAATGATTTCTTTTCCTGTGGGTAAAATGTTCAAACGTTTTGTGTGTAGTTTTTAGTTTGCTGATGTACAGGTTTGAATGATTCAAAAATACATTGCAGGATAAAACTGAGATACTATAACCTTTACATATTGAGGGAAATACTTTTAATAAAAATAACACTAAGCCAGGTTCCGTGGCTCACGCTTGTAATCCTAGCACTTTGGGAGGCCCAGGCAGGCGGATCACTTGAGGCCAGGAGTTGGAGTTCAAGACCAACCTAGCCAACATGGTTCAAAACCCTGTCTCTACTAAAAACACAAAAATTAGCCAGGCATGGTGGCACATGCCTGTAATCCCAGCTACTAGGGAGGCTGAGGCAGGAGAATTGCTTGAACCCAGGAGGTGGAGATTGCAGTGAGCCGAGATCATGCCACATCACTCCAGCCTGGGTGACAGAGCAAGACTGCCTCAAACAAAAACAAAACACAAACAAACTATATATATATGTGTGTGTGTGTGTGTGTATAAATACACATATATGTATATACACATATATCGTGTGTATATATATGTATATATATATTATGGGTGTATATACGTATATACACATATATATACATATATACACATATATATACATATATACACACATATACATATATGTATCTAATAACTTAGTGTCATGTAGCGAGAGGCATGGCTGACACTGGGTTGCAGGTCCGAGTGATGAGTTGAGGCTTACAGCTTCTCCTTAAATACCACTCTTCAGCCCCTTCCCACACTCTCACAGTAAAGCAGTAAGACAGGGTACCTTCTCCACCTTCAGAGGTTCATCGTGCATCTTAAAGTTTACAAAACCAGACTGCATAGGCTCCCCTTGTCAATGGGGTCGCGCGGGCGCAGTCAGAACCTTGCCAGCCCTGCGGATCTGGAAAGTGTGGTGAAGACCGCACTCCCCGGATACAGTTAAGGCTGGAGTGTTGAAAACCTGTGAGCTCACAGCAGGTGTCTTGGTGTCAGGTGTTCGTTGCTTTCCTCTTTTGGCCTCTGCAGTAGTACTTTGCATGGAGCTACAGGACCTCTTCCCTTGAAGCGTCCCTGGTGGTTGAACTTGCCTTTTTTAGCATTTATCTGGAGCTTCTTACGAGACGGGAGAGCTAGCTCTTCTTATCCGTTTTCTGATGAAGAAACATTTGTCTTCTTCCTCCCTTCCTCCCTCTCTCCTTCTTTTTTTGTTTCCTTGCATCTTCCCAGTCCCCATCCTCACTTCCCCTCTCTGATTCTAATATCACTTTAAATGGTCGGTCAGTGGTAGGAGCTGATGTGGGAATGGTGTGAGCCAAGATCTCCCTATCTGGGATCGGCCACACCTGGCGGGGCCACTGGAAACAGCAGCTCCCAGCCTTGTCTTTGAGAAATCTGGATACTCAGGCGGCGTCCCTGACCAAAGGAATCAGACTGTCAGGGGAGACCCAGGCCCGAAACAGCCCAGTGACCCCGTGTGCAGCAGAAGCTGACAGCTGCTGACTGACATCATCCATTGGAACAGGGACCAGAATTTCATGGAAAACAAGGACAGTCTAAGAAAAGGCTGGACTGTGACTTCATACTGAAAAATGAAGCCCAAAATTATGAACATAGGTTAAATCTGTCTTATGTTGAACAAAATTTATTTGTGTGGGCATAATAGAAACAGTATCCAGTGGCTCACGCCTATAATCCCAGTGCTTTGGGAGGCCAAGGTGGGAGGATCACTTGAGCCCAGGAGTTTGAGACCAGCCTGAGCAGCATAGTGAGACCCCATGTCTACAGAAAAATAGCAAAAAACTAGCCAGATTAGCCAGACACAGCGGCGCATGTCTATAGTCCCAGCTACTTGGGTGGCTGAGGCCGGAGGATTGCTCCAATCCAGGAGTTTGAGGTTGCCCCATTACACTCCAGCCTGGGAGACAGAGCCAGACCCTGTCTCTATTTAAAAAGGAAAGGAAAGGAGAGGAGAGGGGAGGGGAAGGGAGGGGAGGGGAGGGGAGGGAGGAGGGAAGATTATGAAGTAAAGCCAAGAGATATGTCTTTTTCCTTTTCTTTTCTAGTTTTGTTTTTTTTTTTTTTTTTTTTTTGAGATAGAGTCTCACCCTGTCGCCCAGGCTAGAGGGCAGTGGTGTGATCTTGGCTCACTACAACCTCTGACTCCCTGGTTCAAGCAATTCTGCCTCAGCCTCCCAAGTAGCTGGAACAACAGACAAGCACCACCATGCCTGGCTAATTTTTGTATTTTTAGCAGAGACAGGGTTTTGTCATGTTGACCAGGCTGGTCTCGAACTCCTGGCCTCAAGTGATCTGCTTACCTTGGCCTCCCAAAGTGCTGGGATTACAGGCATGAGCCACCGTGCCCAGCCAGACCAAGAGATATTTCATACAAATAAGTAAGAAACAACGTGCTAGGACCTCATCAATACCCCTCAGAGATCCTCTTCTTCCTTTGAAATTGAAGTTTTCTTCTGCGAGACCTGTCCCCTCATTCTCCTGCTGGGTTTGTCCTCAACTGTTAGCCAGTTTCCAGCACTGCCAGAGCCTGATGTGCCTGTGGTCCAAGTAATTCTCCAACATCCAGTTCACCAATTTCAACAAATCCTGCATCTTTTGCAACATTTGCAGTTTTACTTTTCAATGTATTCACATCCTGTTAGTATTTATTTTAAACATTTTACACACCTAAGAGTCAGGAAGAGGGACCGACTTGACACTGCTATGGAGTGGGAGAGCATCA